AGCAAATACTAAACTGAATTATTGATTGACCGATAATGTGAATTGTAAACAGTAAAAGTGTCAAAAAAGATATTTATGTCGGTGACTTGTTGAATAGGCAGAAAATCAACATTGCTTTGCTTTAGTAAATTGGCAGAAAAGTAATGTAATATTTATAAATATTGATGACCTTGTTTTACTTTTTTACTTGAAAACAAACATTGTTTTATTATTTTATTTTTTTTTTCCAAAATCGGCATGGTATCGAATCGATTTGTCCCGATCCCTATTTGAATACCGATTCACTTGGGCCATTGTCTTATCTCAAAAAAGCGGGATAAGTATCGGGATAGACCAATTTTCAGACCATTATGGATCGTGCCTACCCTTAAAAATTAATTAATGCATGGAGGAATCTGACATAGAACTAGCCTATTGGGCTAAAGCAACTTAGAATGGGTCCGTTTAAAAATTGATTTAATATCATTTCTAGAGCCGAGCCTTATGTTTTGGTTAGAAAGGCAACAACAAGTCTTTTGGATGAACATGGACCGAGGCCTGTTGGACATAGGTTGTTGGGCCTACAAATTAATGCATACTTCGGCCATTATCAATAGATATTGGCAATCTATATATATCTAAAAAGGTTGATGTAAAAATCATTTTTAGAAACCTAAAATAAATTGAGTTGACTTTTGACTTTCTATTTATGTAATCTCAATCAAATTTTGAAAATAAAATCGTGAATAGGATTATGTAATTGGTATTCCCGTTAATTAAGTATCAGATCAGATAATTCCATTAATTAAGCAAATCTCTTACGAACCCATTAATAAGCAAATCTGTTACGAAATCTGTTAAGTAAATGGATATTCTCCTTAATAATGGTGATTCCGTTAATTAAGCATGTGAATTGATTGTCCGTTAGCAAAAATTATGGGACTTACTATCTATCCAAATACAATCCATAACTATCTTATCACTTTTGGTTAATAAAAAATATGTGAAATTGATTGTCCGTTCCAAAAATCATGGGACTTACTATTTATCCAAATACAATCCATAATTATCTTATCACTTTTGGTTAATAAAAAATTGTATAAAAGGATATTCACTACCACCATTACAACTCATCATTCACGAGTTCAGAGAAAAAAAAAATACAGAGAATAATTTTTCATCCCATATACAATATAATGCTTCCAGGCTGGGGTACACTTGATTTCGTTAACAAAAGAAACAAACTTTTTTTTGTCTGAGAGCCGCTTCCAGGCTGGGGTACACTTGATTTCGTTAACAAAAGAAACAAACTTTTTTTTCGTCTGAGAGCACCCCGCATGATTGAAACTCATCACGAACGGGAGAGTTGTAACCCATGACGACGCTTGATTCCGTTAACAAAAGAAATAAACTTTTTTGTCGTCTGAGAGCACCCCACAGTATTGAAACCCATCACGAACGGGAGAGCTGTAACCATCACGAACGGGAGAGCGGTAACGCATTCCATATACTGCTTCATGATGAACAGGTAATATTTACCTTTGTTATTTCAATTTTATATAATTTAGAAAATTATTTTAATTAATATTTATAAATTTGTATCGTAGGGTGCTTTCATTAAATGTATAATACGTTATCCGAATATGAGAGCAACAAACTTTACATAAACTGAGAGCAGTCTAATTTTTGTAAAATATGTAAACTTTAAACGTGTTTTTATATATAAAATTGTATATACTTTTAAACATGTTAGTTGGGCAAACTTTAAGGATATATATATGTGTGTGTATGCTAACTTTAAGTATATATATTTTTCTTATAAAATAGTCTAGACAGAATTGAGGTAATTTCACATTTTTCGATAATAATATAAAATATTTTAATACTTTCACATATGTTATATAATAGTCTACGTATTCTTAATGTCTTTTGGTTGTAACATTGTTAACACATATAATATTAGATACTTTTAAACATATTTAGATATTTTTTTTACTCATTCTTTAATATCTATGTGCATAAAAAGAGAATAAGATTTATAAAAGATTTTCCGGCAATATACTAAATGTTAGATAAAAAATCTCATTTTATTTGTTATATAATATTTCGAGTTGCAGTAATTTTGATTTGTATGTGTAAACTTGATAAATTAAGCGTATGAAAAGGAACGTACGAATTACTGTAAGGATTTAAAAAATAAAAAATAAATCTAATTTTTTAATATTTTCTACTAACTTCTAAACGAATTTATGTCATAATTCGTCATAATTTTCCCACATCATGTCAATATTTATTTTATATATACTAGGTAAAAGGTAAATCATTATCTCAATATTTATTCTATATATTCTAAGTAAATCTTCTCATCTATCTCAACGGTCCGCAGGTAGTATTTCATACTTTTCTATTCATAATCAAATATATCAAAGCTTCACAAATTTTACTTCACAAAGAAAGTGTTCAATAATTTATATTTTTTTTTCTTCTTTGCAATCCATTTATTTTTGTTACATATATATAAATTATATTATTTTTAATATTTCACACGTTAAACATTTAAGAAAAATATACCATCCCGTGCATCGCACGGGCTACACGCTAGTTCAAAGTATATAATAGTAGCATTTTTATGCCCAATATCTATTGATATTAGTAAGAATTGGGCTTTTTTTTTTATACTTTGGCCGTTAATACAAGTTTTTATTTTTTTTTATTTTTTATTATTATGGTGTTGGTGTTCCTTATGAATTTATAAATATTAGTAAGTATTTGTGTTTTGGAGGGGTTTGTAAAAAATCAGGGGCATTAATGATGGCAATTTCATTCTACGGAGCAGAGTGTTTCACATGGACTGTATTTATTTATTTGAATTATTTATTCAAAATTCGTTTTTTGTTTGATCGAACATTTCATTGTCATTTTGTGCTTGTAGTTCTTTATACAAGTATATACACATATTTCCAACAAATAACAATAAGATATTTCTAGTGATGATAACTTGACAGATCGAGAAATCATTAGATTGTTATGATCTCATTGAAGGTGAAAAAGAATTGGGTTTCAGGTTTAAAGAAGATAAATTTAAACCTGTATTAACTTTAAAAAAATATATATACACATGTTTACTGAAATTAAACTATTATATATAATATAATATGGAATATTTGGTTGTTTTGTCGTCAAAATTATATTATAACATACTATGAAATGGTAAATGAAACTAAATAAACAAACATAATAATATTAAATAGTAGTATGTTCTATTTATTTTTTATTATATGCTCGTGTCCTAAATTTTCGGCCTCTTACCCATAGTAGCAAGAGACTGATTTGGCCAAAACGTAATGGTGCACTCAACTCCACAGTTTGGGAAAACGTATAACAAGTCTTGTTGTCGCACAAATAGTTTGTATTGAATCTACAAAAACAATCCATCCATAAAGAATCTCAACGTTCATGAATTGGAACAACTGAATTCAGGTTCAAATCTTTTCCAATGCCCAAAGTTCCGGTAGAAACACATCTTGAGGTGATTTGAATTCAAGTTGTAACCCTATATCATTAGAAAGGAAAATTAAAAAAATTAGAAAAAAATTTCTCTCTTCCTTTGTTTTTGATCGGTAAAAAAATTCTAAATAATAAAAAAGAGGTAATTTTTCATTTTTATCCCTAAATAAATAAAAAAAATCTAAACTGTTATCTGAACTCCCCAACTTTGCTTATGATGTGGAACATGTTGCAGGCGAGTTTTAGGCTGTTGAAAATCATTTGAAGGGTTATCTTCGGCAAAAGTAAGAACAGACGTAACTTTTGCTGAGTTCGAAACTGCTATTATAATAATATGTTTCTGAAAGCGGAACGATGATGTAGTCCTCCAGACTCGAATTATATTGTTTGCAACCCTTCTTATAATTTCTAGTCGTTAGAATATCACTTGTGAGTTGTCCCACATCGTTCATACATGAAAATAGACTCACCTTATAAGACTAATGAGTTACTCCTCCTTCCACCAATTGGTTTTGGGATGAAACCCCACTTGGGCTTCATATGAGCTTTCCCCGTTCATGGTGTGTTTCATGGTAGTGGGACCGCACTCGTTTTCCCCCAGTTTCTGTCACTAGTATTATCAAATTTATTTCCTATTTCGTTTAGGATTTGAAAACCTCGGTATATTTCTATTTAGAGGTGAGCATCGGTGTGGTTTAGTGCAAAGTCGCACCGAACAACAAATAAAAATAAAAAAATCAAAAATCCAAACTCAATCGTACTTTTATGGAGGAAAAAACAAATCGAAATCGCACTGAAATTTTTTATTTCGGAGCGGTTCAACTCTGTTAAGCGGGACTAACAAAAAAAAATTGTAACAACAAACAAGAACAAAAATGTAACCTAAACAAAATTTATTCAATTTACTATATATTTACTTATAATATATATAATTGTCCGAGTTGTATTATATATATACATATATATATATATGTATAACCTATAGTATAACATAAACTTTATTCGGTGCGGTTCGATTAAAACCGCGTCATTCGACCGTAAGATCGAACCGCACCGATTTTTTTGCTATTTTTTAAAATCTTAACCGCACCGCAAACCGCAATCTTAAAAAATTGAACCGCATTGCACCACACCAACAGTTCGGCTCGATTTTCATTTTCGGCTCGATTTTGCTCAACCCTACTTTTATTAGACATTGTTTTGAGGGTAGTCGAGCTTTCACATTCAATTTCGTAATACATCGTTCTGTATATGTGTATTAGACATTATTTTGAGGGGTAATCAAATTTTCATATTCAATATAATACATCATTCTTTCATTACAAATACATGCCTTTTTACAATTTATCGTCCCATGTGATATGAATCAATACAGGCATCATATTCTACCTTTCACACACAGACCTATAAATACCCTCTCCATTATATGATTTTGCCACAACCCACAAAAACACAAAAACTCTCAACTAGTGCAGTCCATCTGCGTGGAGAATACTAATAAAATTGATCAAAATATGGATTCCAAGAAAGCCACCCCACTCCTCTTTCTTTACATCAACCTCATCATGCTCTTTGCTTTATCAAGTGGCTGTAGTAACAAGGGTTGTACCAACAGCCCAAGCCCAAGCCCAAAACTGAGCCCAAATCCAAGCCCTAGCCCTAGCCCTAGCCCTAGCCCATCAAAGGGCAACTGCCCAAGAGATGCCCTGAAGCTAGGCATATGTGCCAAGCTGCTACACGGCACAATTGGGGCCATAATCCATGGCCCACCGAACCACCAATGCTGCTCGGTCCTTCACGGGCTTTCGGATCTCGAGGCTGCCGTTTGCCTTTGCACGGCCTTGAAAGCCAATGTTATGGGCACCCACCTCAAAATTACACCTTCCTTGACCTTGCTCCTCAACAAATGTGGCAAGACCCGCCCTAAGGATTTCGTTTGCGACTAATTTAATCGATCAGATGTTGTTTTCGTGCACGTTAGACGATTTTCAACATTATGGTTGTTTGATATATCGTGTCATTTCCATTCGTTACTCATATATATATCTTAGAATAATGAGTTTATTACTCAAGTGATGACTACGGTGGTGTCCTAAATGCTTGATGTTCTTCGGCATTTGTATGTTTCATACTTAACCAAAATAAATTCTATTTTGACGACCAACGTATTTTCTTGGTTTTATTTTCTTGTATTTATTAGCTCTGCACAGAACAAGTTGGAAATGACTACTCTCCGAACGACATGATTCCGTCAGTGTGTTTTAAACATGAATTATTTACCCCACACTAATCTTTATGTGTATATATTTAAAGGTTAATAATCATTTCATGACTGGATTGTAGCGATTACCGAACAATTTTACTTCACTATGATGGGCGGTTATCAATTAAAATCCATAAATTTATTTACCCCTGAATTCATCATGTGCTGGTTCAACCCTTGCATTCAACGCTTTTTTTTNGTTAAATCAACATAATGACGGGTCATTACCTAGGTCTAGGTAGAACTGGTTGAGAAGAGCTCCGATCCGTCTGAATCGCTGCAGGAGACCTGCAAGAAGGGAGTTGTTCCCGACGAAAAGCCTCTGATGCTTAAGTCAGCACAAGTAAGAAGATAAAGTTCTGCAATCTAGAGCTATAATGTATGTAAAGTGTGAAGAATGTGGGAGAAAGGCTTAGGGTTATACCTCAGTCTCCTTTTATAAGGGAAATACCTGCCCGGGCTGCCCGAACTGCTCTCGGTCAGCCTGCCCGGACTACCCAAGGTTTGATCTTATCTATATCCTAATCACATCTGAGTCATTATCAGATTCCTTCTTATCCATTTCCTACCTCTAAGTCATGCTTTTATAGTCATAGTGAACTCCACTTTCTGTAGATTAGAACACTTTCCACCTAGTCATAGAGACCTCCTCATACTTAGTCATTGAGACCTCCTCACACATAGTCACGGAGACCTCCTCATACTTAGTCTCCTCAGAACAGCTCGACCTCCTCATACTTAGTCACAGAGACCTTCTCATACTTAAGACTCCGGTTCACAAGTAGGGCTATATCACACAATAACACCTTATGCTATTTATGTTACATTAAAATTGCTCTTATCTATTTGAATTTGGGGAATTTCTAGGGTTGGTGGACTGGTCACCTTCAAATTCATTTTAAATAACTTAAAAATCAGATAGAGATAAGTTATTTGATCATGTTTCAAATAGAGTATGCATGTTCATAATTGCAACGTCTATGTGCTTTGTGGTTGAGTTATCTTGTGTATTCTTTTGGGATTTCGAGTGACATTTAGAGTGTTTTTGAGATTTGAGATCTTTTAAGATTTTTAGAGTTTGGAAGAATCCTGCGATATCTTAAGTCTGGTGGTGAGATTTGTAGTGAGATTTCATATATGTGTTTCTCTTTAGAAATCTCAACAAATCTTAGAAAATCTTAATAAATCATAGTCTTAAATAAGTAAATACCTCATAATTTTGTAAGACTTTTTAAAATCTCAAATGAATACCTCATCATTTTTAAAAGTCTTCGGAAGTCTAAATGAAATACACCAAAATTTCTGAAGTCTTAAGAAATCTTTATAAATCTCAATTGAATACACCCCCTAAGTTTAGTTAGCCATTTAGCCGAATAACGGAATATTTGATGTATGTGCTTAGGATTGGCAAACCAATAATGTTATGTATAAGGAAGTGTTCAATAATATACAAATTTTTACATGATATTTTCAATGTCATGATCATTCATTTATTAGACAATTCAAATATAAAGCTACCTTTTAGAAAGCAAGTAGGAGGTAGTAAATGTCTCCGTCCATCACACGGACCGATACTAGTAATCACAAATCTATATATAGATAATAAGAATAACCATTTATTAAAAATAATAGCAAAAAATGTTGGGAAAATTTAATGCATATCTTTTTTTTTTGGACATTTTTTAAATAGATGCATTAATTAATTCTATATACACATTTTCAAATAAGATCAAATCATATATGATAAAAAATATTGTTTCTTTAAATAATTTATTAATATTTGCACTAATTTCATTGATTATCCATTATAATAATTACAAGATTGATTTTCTGCGATCCATGTTGATAATATTTTGGTAAAAATAAATATTACAACAGATTTTAAGTTCTAACCATAATATTATTATTTTTTTTTCACAAATATTCACTTTTTATCCAATATTTATAGAAAATCGTAACAGGCGAGGTAAAAATTTTTCTTCTAATTAATCAGGCGAAATCAAGTTGGTGAACTAATCTTTGCCAATATAATTTTTTTAAACTTTATTTCGTTATATATAAAAAATAAAGTATTCTTCAAATTAATATAATTTATCATTTAAGAGATATAGACCAGACACTTTAAATAGTTTTACTAACGGTCAAAAATTAAAATTGAAATATATTAAATGTTCTTTGGAATTTATTTGTATATTATTGACAACTTAATTTTTTTGTTTTGTTTTTTATTTTGATTTCTTTCTATAATAAAATTCTTGTAAAATATATTTTCATAGCAGTGTATCCTAAATAAACTATAAAGCCTTATAACGAAAGTTAGAAAAATCTTGATTATAGAAGGGATTTAGTTTTTGGCATTTGTTAAATCAAAGTTGTTTAATTATTTCGTTATATATAAAAAATAAAGTATTCTTCAAATTAATATAATTTATCATTTAAGAGATATAGACCAGATACATTAAATAGTTTTACTAATGGTCAAAAATTAAAATTGAAATATATTAAATGTTCTTTGGAATTTATTTGTATATTATTGTCAACTTATTTTTTTGTTTTGTTTTTTATTTTGATTTCTTTCTATAATAAAATTCTTGTAAAATATATTTTCATAGCAGTGTATCCTAAATAAACTATAAAGCCTTATAACGAAAGTTAGGAAAATCTTGATTATAGAAGGGATTTACTTATTGGCATTTGTTAAATCAAAGTTGTTTAATTAGTATGTAATATAAGTTATAAAAAAATATATGTGTATATTTTGTAAAGTATTTTTACACTATTTAATTTTAAATGAAAAAGTAATCAAGCACTGTAGTACAATCCAATTGGAGTAGTGCGAAGGGGATGGATTGGTCGGCGGGCGGCGAACAGGACGAATACCGATGTCTTGGGTGTTATGGAACGAAGCGTAAAGCTTCCAATTCCACACTAGTTTCATGGGAACCTTTAGGAGTAATTCATCAAATTTGTTAGATCTAAAAAATGATTTTCAGAAAATCCACCAACCCTTTTTCGTTTAGTTTCCAAAGGGACTAATCTGTTAGATTTTGTTTGTTCAAATTTTTCCTTCTTTTCTTGCCCTCTACTTACTTTATTTTTGCGCCGTTACATAAAATAAAAAGAAAAATAAGACATCCAACTTCTATAACTTTTATAAATAATAATGACATTATATGACAACAAAGTTTATGATAAAATAATAAGTAAGTATTATATGATGAACAAGAATAAGTAAAACTGTTATTTTCTCTTATATAAAGAAATAAATCTATATACTAAAATCAAATTTATATTAGCATAAATGTGTTAGTGAGATAATATAATAATTATTTTACAACTTAGCCCAAACATGCTCATATTTAATATTCTGGCTAAAAAAATAATTAATCCTCTTGTTTTTTAGACTTAACGATGATTAAAAGATGTGTAACTCTATTGCTCTTTAGACAGAGCATATTAAAATAACTCATTTAATATTCCTGTCTCGTGCATCGCACCGGGTACAAATTAGTAGAAAAGTATAAATATAACCTAAAAGTTAATAAAACTAAATAAACTGAATGTTCATTTTCTCCGTTTGAGATAATGTTAGTCCCTCAATTATACAATTTGATATACTTTTTTTGTCCATAACTTCTTTTATTAGGCGTCAAAATATAGGCCGGTTCCACCCACGATTTAACTTTTTAACAAAAATATATAGTTAAAGTATAGCAAAAATTCTATGGAGTCATCTGATGATTTAATAAGTCGTGCCATTTTATGACTCCATAGCAAAACTAAAACTATAAAATGTCCTAATATATACACAATTTAATTCATTATTATTTTTTAATAAAAATACATAGTTAAAATGATGTCCTAATATATAGGCAATCAAAATGGAGTAACCATTCAAAAATCAAAACACTTACCACCAAACATGATTAAAGGATATACACAACTTTATTAATGGAATAATAAATTATTCGATTTGAAATTATTTAATCAAAATAACATAAAAATTGTAAAGAAAATGTAAGAAGATGAAACGATATTTCCTAAATGTGCAACAGATTGTTACAAAAAAACTATTGAATTGAATATTGCCATCAAAATCTCATAGTTTTAGACAATAAAATTTCACGTACTTTTTAAAAGATGTCATGTAAATATCAAAGATGCACCGATATTTATTTCTAAATAATTGATTTGAAATTAACATACCAAAATCTCGATAAGTTTAATTAATGTCTACAACTTTTGAATGAGAATGAAATTTAAGAAGTTGCATACGATCTTTCTTTATAAAATGAAGTGTAATTGATTTGAATTAGTTTTTTTTCCTCTATAATTGGAACTGATTTTGTTTCACAACATCGTGAAAGTTATTAATCACGTGGTTTTTTACTAAATAAATGTAATCGAATTTGTTTCAGATTATCTTGAAAGTTATTAATTACATGGTGTTTTTTTTAAATAAATTTATTTAGAAAAAATTGTTTTTTTAAATCATTAAAAAACATTTTAAAATAATCTAAAAAATAATGAGTCTCATATCTCAGAATGGTAGCCAATAATTTTAAAATAATACCATAATAATAAGGTATGTTTAAAGAGATAAACATAATTGATTTGAAATATCATTTTGATAAGATTTGCTTAAGTGATAATAGGAAATAGATAAACATAATTGATTTACTATCAAACATGTTCATGGGATATACACGGTTCTATTTAAGAGATTGATACTAATGAAAAGAGATAAGTTTTTTTCGTTTTATCAAAAAAAAAAAATGTTTCATAACTAATAATTTAATAATTTATTTATGAACCGATTTTTATGTGATATCAATAGATTTGAATTTAATAAACTAAAATATCATTAAATTTAGTTAAGAAATATAAAAGGAAAATCCACAATCGTATGAAACTGCATATTTTGCTTACAAATCCGAAAATGATTGAATGTGAGCGTTTTGAAAATATATAGTTGTTTCTAAATGTCATGGATTATGAATTACATCATATCATAATGATAAGAACTGTTTAAAATAATGATAAGATTTGAATTGAACTTACCAAAAAAATTTCAAAATTTTGGTTAAGAAAGACATAAGAATCCACAAAAACTTATCGCATTTTAATTTAAAAAGTTGCATACGATTTTTTCTTACACGCTTATTTGAACAGATTTGAATTTATTTTCGTAAATAATTAGATAATGTTTGACATTAAACATCAAATTTGGAATTGATTTTGTTACAAAAAAATGTAGATACATAACTGATTTTAGCTACCCAAAATTGTGGATACGAATTTGATGGTATATTCCATTCAAATCTCAAATTTCTTATAATAGTATGTCAACCTATTTAATTTTTTAGTCAAACTTACTAAAAAGGGTATTTTTCAACAATTTTTTTTTATATTGCTATAGATTATATTTGCAGATGTTTCTGGAAATTTCAATATTGTCTGTCGATTATTCAGGGTTTTTAAGTTTTTTTAGGATTTAAGTATTAAATTTCAATATTCTTTTTTATTTCAATTTTAGTTTGGTATATAATATAAGCGGACTGATTATATAATCTATTTTGATTTGGAATAATAATTCCTTTTCTTATAGCTCAACGTGATTACTTCTCGATCACTCAATATTCCAACAAGTAACAACAACATTACGAATTATTTTTTTCTAAAAAATACAAATAATCAAACTATTTACTTGCTGAAATCATAAATAGAAAAAAAAAATGTGGAGTAATAAATCCACAAACTAATTCGTCTCTCGACTCTCTTCCATCAGCAGATAGCAGGACATTATGTCAATCTTTTGACCTCTTTTGACAACTCTTTAATTTGTACTATGTAGTTTAGGATTCATGCATTAAGCAATTATTTTGATTTTTCAAAGCGCGAGATTTTTAGGAATCTATTATTGAGTGTATATATAAAACAATGGATAATATATTGCATTAATATGAAATATAAACTCCTACCTAACAGACGTAGATTATATTAATGTTGATTGACTACCAACACATCGTGAAAAGATGGATGACAAGACTTGAAACTGAATACAATGTTGCAATCATGGAACCTGTATTTTTTATTATAATAATTGATGGTCAAAGTCCACTAAAAGTATGCTTACTTAAATGCCAAAATTGGATGGTGCACTGCAGAGTGCAGGCTTATTTGAGTGGTGGAGCCTTTTTTTTTTTTTCATTGAACTTATTTACAAGGCAGTAAGTTCATTGATGTTAAATTTAAATTGCTATATAAATTGAAAAATATTATTTGATTAAACATTAATCCAGCCGATTTAATTTTTTGTCAAATCAATGAATTATTAAGGGTGTGATTATATATAAACTTTGATGTAACAATAAGAATAGCTCGATGGATCGGCCCGAGGGGGCCTTAGCTCAATTGCTACAGTTTGAAGATATACGGTATTAGTTAAATACCTATAAAGATTTATGAAATATTCTTAAAGAATATTTAAGTAAGTTTGTATATATCATACAGTGATTTGGGAGGATTAGACTCCTTAATAACCCTTTTAATTGGGGAATAAGTCATTACACACCTTATAAATAAGAGACAGGTTCATTTTCTAATACAAAGCTCTTAAGACTACTTAAGATACACGATCAAAATATCCGTTTTCTAACTTGAGCGTCGGAGTGTCCGCGCTTTGCAGGTCGATCCGATTCTTGAAGAGAAAAGCGATTGGGACATTCGAACTCTCACGCAATCGAGATGAGGCAGTTCGACTAGCAACCTCGGTGAGTCGATTATTTTGGCTCATCAAACTTGACTAGTAAAAAACTAATCAAAGCTGATCAAATTAAACACAAATTTAACTGACACTACAAGAATATGATGAAATTCTAATGGAAAATTTCAACGTAAATATATTTCAATGGAATTCCAACGACAATTAAAACTCGTTCGTTAGGATGCTCAACTGAAAGGAGAGGACCAAAGGACATTCCAATGCTATTATATTTCCGTTGGAATTTTTCAATGGATTCCAACGAAGATTCCAACAAAAATATTACGCTGGAATGAGTTTTTTGTTGGAATTTCTGTTGGATTTTGACGATTCCAATAGTACATTTTTCAACGGTTGAAATATGAGTGAAAATAGAAATTCAACAGAAATTCCAACGATAAAAAATCGTTGGACTTGATTTGACTAGAGACAGCTTCTTGGTGGACTTGCTTGATTGATCTTTCTAGAAGACAGATTTTGACTTGAATAACGTTGACTCAAGAACCTGAGAGTTTTTTCCCAAAGAAAAGGCTATGTTGTTTGAACTTCTCGACGAACGCGGTTTGAATATTTCTTGAACGTCGTTGATTTTCTTGGAATGATTTGAGAGGAATGGATGTCGCCTCTTTATTTATTAGAGAAGGACTGCCGCCGCTTTTTCTTCTTCTTGGTCGTCTTCTCCATTGAGCGTATTTCGGAGGTTAGGAGAATTGGTTCCAGACTGAGCGTCGATCTTCAACTTGAATGCTCTTGGATCTTCAAGAATGTATTCAAGTTTTCAAAAGAGTATTTGAGAGCTCTTGAATTTGAGACTCTGATTATGATATGGCATTTTGTGGCTTTGAGGGGAGCCTTATTTACAGGTGTATGAGAGAGAGTTTTAGAGAAAAAGACATCAATTTGATTGATTACTCTTTCGATATCTTGATTGTAAATCGATTTTGTGATTTATAAAACTCAACATTTAGTTGGTTTTTTGCATATTTGAGTGTTGATTTATTACTTCTATTTTTTATTTTTTTTTGTTGTAATCACATATTTTTTATTATTTTGTTCTTACAAAGTATTCATTTGATAAGCACTTATCAACAAAAGTGTTATGCAATATGTTGAAAAGTTTCAATTTAAACCAAATTTTCAACAAAAAAGCCTTATTTTTCCATAAACTATAGACGTTGAACTTAAATTATAAATACATAAAATCTCTTTTTTTTCTACTTCTTTTTTTTTTTTAAGTTTGAGGGTGATATGGATTTTAAGTTTTTAAAAACTTGACAGCACACATATCGATATTTATATCTCTAATGCATTCTTTTGAAAGAGTAAAAAGTTATCCACCTCATCTAGATAGAAAGTGTGTGAATAATTTATCCTCCAATGCATTAGATTATGGGTCCTTTCATGCTTATGTGTAAAAAATTAATGTTAACATTGCCAAGCTCAATTTCTAATTTCTCGCATTCTTTCTAACATGATGACTCAGCATTTTGATAATTATTTGACACAAATTTTGAGCTTTTCATAAACTTGAAAAAATCCAACCCTTACATTTATCTAAGAAAACATTTGAGAATTTATTTGAATACAGTATAATTATTTGATGAGTTACAACTAAAATTTAAAAAAGTTATCAATGTCCTGAAAAGTAAAATATTATGTTCATGATATTTGTTTGTTGAGTTATTGCAATTTTAATATTTTGTTGTTTTATTTTGAACCGATTAAAAAAAATTATTGTGTGGTTATACATATTGTAACTGAGAAATTATTGAATAAATAATAATTTTATAAATTTGGTGTATATAAATAAAAATTAACTGAATCAACAAAAAATAACATCATGCATATAATTATTGGAATTTGTGGTTTTTTTTCTAATATACTCTTTTATTTTATTAATAATTGAATAAATCCACATATACAAATTGTATGGTTGTTGAATGGATGCATTGGAGGCAACAATTCAAATGAAAATCCTATTCTTATAACATTTCGTTCATAGATTAAACATTAATTCATTGATTGACAGGTGTTTAAATTTAATTAATGTTGAAAGTTGAGCATTAGAGATGCTTCAATTTTAAAGTGGAATATATCCATATAAATACATGCATTAATTTAATCCAACAATAAAAATGGACTATACGGGAGAGCAAAAATCTTCCTATTCTTTGTTTCTGTCATTTAATACCTCGCTATCATTTGTGTAATCCATTTCACATTTTTCCACCTAAAAAAAACACACACACTGCCCCGTCTTAATATTCAACACATTATTTATAAAAAAAAATACTTACACACATTATACCATCATTATTTTTCTGCTATTAATTAGTTCATGTGCTCGTCTTCACATACATACATATATACACATAGGAAAAGAAAAAATTTTGAAGGCTAAAATTGAATAGTGGTCAAAATTATGAGTGGGTGGATGAAGTCATTACAGTGCAAGTCAAACTCGCCGGACGACGTCGTTGACCACCGCCGCCGCTCGAACCCTCGATACCACCGCCTCCACTCCCACGGCTGCAGAAACACCGTCCAAAGCCTCAACGACGCCGTCAATGCCACAAAGAAGGCCGACCCCAGGAACCCAAAGCCGCCGCCGTTCAGGCGACCCGTTACCTTGAAACCCGCCGATCCGGATCCGAACCTCCGACCCGGATCGTCCTTCTCGTCCATGGCGGAGCTTCCCGAGGGCCACCCGTCGCGCAACGTGGTGGAGATAATCTTCAGCTCCAGCTGGGGACAGAAAGGCTTTCCGGGCCGGGTCGAGACGGTGCTCAAGGTGCGGAGTTCGACCCGGACGGCGACCCGGTTCGAGGAGTACCGGCAGGCGGTCAGGCAGAGGGCCGGCGGCGCCGAGGACCACTCGCGGTGCGCCGCGGACGGAAATGAGGTTATGCGTTTCTACTGCCTGGGGGACGCCGCCAAAGGCGGCGCGTACTCGGTCAGGGGAGGCGCGTGGTCCCTCCCCGGGGGTAAAATGACCGGGGTGTGCACTTTTTCAGGGACCGGCGCGGCTCACGCGAACGCCGGCGGTGGGAGGGGGCGGAGGGCGATGGTGGTTTGCCGGGTCATAGCGGGCCGGGTTTGCAAGGAACTCGGTGTTGACTCGTTGCTCGGGGGACGGACCGGGTATGACTCGGTGGGCGGAGTCAATGGGGAGCTGCTCGTGTTCGACACGCGCGGCTTGCTGCCCTGCTTTCTTATAATTTACCAGCTGTAAAAACTGCGTGGAGTGTGTTTTGTTAACTCCAAATCCAATTTTCTTCTAATATTTTCGTTTTTCATTTATTTTAATTTATCTATTTATATTTAAAGAATTTTGGTCGGGTATAGTGTTTGGAGTACTTTCTCTGTATTATAGTTTTCTCATTTGCCAAGTAACAAGAACTGGGAATTAATCATTCGTCTTTTCGTTTACTTTAGTTTAATTAGTAAGTTGCATCAATGCACGTTGAAATTAACTTTACTCGTTAAGATTCAACGCATGCATACACATCAGTTAGCAAATTTGATCCATTCTGTTAGGTAAACATGATAAATCAGTTGGTTAAACTTTGCTTAATCGTAAGTGATTAGAGATCACCAGCTTATCCACACATAAATATATTTCAAATATGAAACAATTGATAACGTAATGTTTATAGAAACGTTATTATGAAGTGTACAATATCATATTTTGATTGTATTTGATGATACTCTTAACTTTGTATGATGAAGACAAGAAAGATCAAACTATATAGGGTGAGCAAAATCAAGTGAAAATCGAAAAATCCAAGTCGGGTCATGAAATTCGGTGCAGTTTGGTAAATAATTTTCACAAGTTTGATTTTCTGACTTAAAAAAAAAAAAATTAATTGGCAAACTTAACTCAAATGCATAAAAAAGCATTAAAGTGACGTGTGTTGAGCGATTCATTGCAATCCGGTTCAGTTCAATTAGTTTTAGTGTAGTTCGATATCGGTTTGATTTTTTGATTTGTTATAACAACGTTCGGTTTGAAAAGTTTGCAATTTTATTTTTTATTTTTATTTTTTATAATTTTGTGTGGCTTTGCACTAAACCGCATTGTTGCTCACCTTAAAATTTATGTTTAGATCACTTTAATTTCTTTTCTTAAAATGGTCAATATATAACTTGATCCACAAAATAGTCAAATGAATCACTTAATCTAAAATGAGATATCTACAATAATTAATCATATACATGTAAAATAGTGATCCAAAAGTTAACATTCTTGAAGATGCTTAAGATTTAACCTCGAAAAGGACTCTGAGATTATCGATGAACTTGTCAAAATCTAGAGATGTCGTTATTAAAAAGAAAGACACTATTGTTCTAGTTTTAGAAGATGGGACTTTAAAGTAAAGTTACAATTTTCTCAAAAAAAACCTAGATTTTGGTAGTTGTCATGAAGATAACATTGCCTAGACATGATAGATTTGGCAGGTTTTGTTGCCATTTAGTGCATAAGATGGTGCTAAATTACCTTTCTGTCCAACCTATTTCAAAGCAAGTTTTATTATTCATTTTTGAGTGTCATTTACATATATAGTACCCAAGCAAATATATGTTTAATTTGAAGTCCTATATATAAACACATTTGACAATTGACATGTGGTCCATGTGGAGCGAATTAATGTTAAAAACTGTGCGCTTTCTTTCAGAGTGTTTGATATGATTAATAAAAAACTTTGAAATTAGCTTAGAGCTGATATTGAACTATCCATCAATGGACACTTAATTATTGCCTTACAAGTGAAGATACTTTAAAAGGCATAAAAAGCAGTTGAAATGTCAGGTAGAACTGGAATGGACTAAATATTAAAGATGAACGATATCACTTTGGGCATGCCACTTTGAACTGTTTGCAGTGAAAAGATGGACTCATTATCTACGTAATTTTGAAAAATACTTGTGGAAAGGGAAAGTTAAAAATTACAGATACATTGATATGTCAATGAATGTGAGTGCGTGAAAGAAAATTGAAAGAAAAAAAGAAAAGGCTGCATAATGAAAAATGAAAATAATACACAGTTGTTGCGAACAAACAATAGTTAAAACTTAAACGTCGAAAAGAGAGGAAAAAAAAAAAAGGCATAAAAGAAAAATGAAAATAAAAATAATACACAGTAGTTGCTAATACAATAGTTAAACGTTGAAAAGAGACAAAAAAAAAATCGTATGCACCAGCCGGGAATCGAACCCGGGTCTGTACCGTGGCAGGGTACTATTCTACCACTAGACCACTGGTGCTTGTTGAAAATGAAAATAGTTGTAACATCATATTATTATCCTCAGTTTCTAATTGTATTCATATTCCAAATAAACTAAATAAATGTCACATATTCAGTTATAAGTTATAACTTATCATATCTGATCAAGTTTTACAAACGAAGTGTATCAGTGTGAGTGCACGCAAATATAGAATAGAACATTCAAAAGGCAAACTCGAATAGAACATTAAGACTCCAGCTCGACTCATTAATATTGATAAACGAGTCAAGGTCGAACACCATGAGTTCGATCTCAACTCGACTCGCTTAAACCCATAGCCACAAGTCACCATCAATTCCTACAACAAAAAGAGATCTAGTAATCGAAGGCTCTCACACATGCAAACTGTCCAAAAGACTACTAATTAGATCTAAAAGAGTAAAAATCTAGTTTGATCTGGTAGAAACCTAGCCTGATCTGATCTGGAAGAGAAAGATATGTCGATTGAAAACATGAAGATCCAACAACACTAAATTGTAACTCCAATCGTCCATCGAAAGAAAATAGCCCATAATTCTTGCGCTTAGGTCCAAATAGGTCATTTATTAAGCTTTTTAAAGTTACAAATGTGCATATAAAATTTGAATTTAAACATATACAATATTTTATTTTGAAAGTTTCTCCAGCCCTTTTAGAATCGGGGCTAAAATCTCATAAATGAAAAATGTCAAAATAGGAATAAGACGATATTATTAGAAATGTAACTTTTTTTTTATTATTATTATTATTAGAAATGTAAGTTATTGTTGTATTGGCTGCAAACCTCGGTAATTGATCTTTACGAATTACGGTGCTTCATCTACCAATTATATACTTTATTTATCCCAACCAAAAATAGCTAAGTATAAATTTTCTATATAATTTTCGTCAAATACATTAACAACATTAGCCTATATTTTTTTTCTCCATTATAAAAAGACAAAAAGGAGTAATTATATTTGTTTAAATAATAATAAAGTTCCGGGTTAATGGGTTTGAGTGAAAAAACATTCAAATAGATCATATATTTTTGGAAAAAACGAGCTTACCCATTTAACATCTCTAATTATAAAAAAGCTTGAATTGATCACTCTTTTTTTTTAACATTTCTTATTATTAAAAAGATTGGATTTTTTATTTATTTTTTGTCTGTATGTGTATAGAGTTTCAAAAGAGCTTTACAATTCTATATATCAAGATTCAAAAGTAATCTTTAAAAACTTTATTATTAAATTACGGTGGCATTGGGCTGCGTGGCCCAAATTCACTCGGCCAAGCTTTAAAATTGGCCAAGACTGACCCAAAATAGCTTTTTTCAAAAAAATAATAAAAAAAATAAAAGGAAACTAAAAATGTAAACTTTAATAATCTTCCTCATAATGTTTAGGTTATTTCTGATTTGTTGTATTGTTGTGTTATTTATTCCATATTGTTGGAGATGTTATTTTAGATTGTAAGTTGTTCGTTCTTCCATGTTATTTTGGGTTTTTATATTTAAGAGTTTGAAATTTTAAGTGATATTTAAGATTTTTTAATATTTGAGTAGAATTTCATATTGTGAAAGAATTCTGTGAAATTTTAAGTATGGAGGTNCCGAGTGTCGGACCCCAACATAGGCCAACGGCCCAAACTTAAAACACAAAGACAAACACAAACACAGATACGAAAAACACTAAACAAGAACAAAATAAACTAAAATAAACTAACAGCCCTTCCCTGGCAAACGAGCAGTCCCCACCAACAGTGTACAATCGACACAAGAAGGAGTCTCAGCCCGAGAAACCACTACCAAAACTGCGCAACCGCCTATACAGTAGCTAAAACCGAGCCTCGAACCATTCGCCAAATCGATCCACCTCGAATCGAGAGAAAATCGGCTAACCCCCACCAGCCCCTCCTGAACCCGTCTAACACCACTAGCCGAGCCCAAGAGAACTAGGTCCCTGGACCTCCGGCACCTAACACCACTAGCTGAATGAGGGGGGACGGGGGGTAGGTGACTCGGTTCCACTACCCCGTTCGCCGCAGCAGCCGGGGCTTCTTCCCATCCTTAGACCACACACCACCGACACCACGCAAACCCCGGCGACCAACAACCCAACCCCACCGGAAGTTCCGTCGGAAAACAGAACCTCCCATAGGGGACGCCAATTGAAGCAAAAAACAGAGATATAGAGGGCTTACCACCAGCCATCGAAGGTCCACCAGCAACCAGGAAGCGAGGCCACCCATCGCAGGCCGGAATCCAATCAAGGGGGCGGCACCTCCGAGCTCTGTTCTGCCATCGGTTGAGAACCATACCGCGCTGAGTCACAGCAAATTCGAGGCGCACAAGTCCAGCATGGGATGAGCAGTTAGGGGCAACCGCAGGCCGAGCCCCACCATCACCAAGGATGGCAAATCGACGACAATAGACGGAGCGGCGGTGTTAGGGTTAAGATTTCCTATTTATTTTTTTTTGCAGAGAGAGATGATTATGGAGGAGGGGTGGGATTTCGTATAAGGTTTTTTGTTTAGAAATCCCACCAAATCTTAAAAAGTTTTAAAAAATCTTAGTGCAAAATAAGTTAAATACCTCATTAAAAATTTTTAAAATCCCAATTGAATACACCAAGACTTTTAAAATCCCAAATTGAATACACCAGAATTTCTAAAGTCTTAGAAAGACCTTAGAAATCCCAATTAAATACATCCCCTTAGTTTTATTATTGGATTTCGACTGCCCGTGCACTTTAATTAAATTCAACTTTTTTTTAGTTGGTTGATTAAAGTGTTTAGTTATAATTTGGCCAATAATTTTAGTAAAATAAAAAATAAAAAATACTCTATACTTCATAACATATTTACAATATATAATTCTCGAATGCCTTGATTTTAAGTGTCAGACTTACATGCCCCGAAATCTTATGTGGCAAAAAAACAATGTTTTGGAGCATGCTTGAATATAAACTAATATTTCTTATACAAAATTAATTAGGTTGGATTGCATTAAATCTCTATAGTAATCACATTAATTATGTCATTGATCTCTTCGTTCTTTAATTCCACAATTGGTTATCATAAATTATTTTATTTTTTCTTTTCTTATATTACAATTTATTGTGTTTTCATTTCTTATTTAATTCATACATAATTTACTATAAGTGTGTCTTTTTCTTATTGTTTAAAATTTTATATTTTTTTTTTGTATGTTATTTTTTATACATGATATGATAAATTAATTATCTTTTAATGATTTCTGATTTGACATTCATATACATGTATAAAATTTAAAAAGTGATATATATCCTTATAAATTTAAATATATTTATCAAACTAAAATAAAAGTATCAAATAAATTATAAGTTATCTTATAAAGGAATAAAAATATATTTGAATTGACATACCATATTTATTTTATATTAAAAATATATAATCTAAGGTTGGACATAAACCTAATATAAAAAAATATATATTCTAAAAATTTATGTCTCAACTTAAATCAAGACTACAGAGAAATTGAACATTATGATGATATTGACAACAAAAAATTCTTAATGAATATTATAATTAAAAATAATTATTATATTTCATAAAGTTTAAATTATTATACTACACATTATATTTTAATACTAAATATTATAAAGTTTTAATAAATTTTATTAAATAATGAATGAGTGAAAAATTATATAATTATAGTTGTAATATAATAAAATTTGAAAAAATGATTAAATTCATTCAAAATCAAATTATTGAGTAGTAGCTAACATATAT